TCATGTCATGTAGTTCTTCGACCCTAATGATCTACGGGAAGGAGGTATAAACAAAGAATATAACAATGTTATGTTGTTGGGAGTTTGACATTTCAACATCACCAACATCCCAAGCAATCCCACCATGTGACCCAGATAGTCAAGATGATGAGCTGGATAGTGTACTTCCACCAATAGAATTACATCAGCCAACTGATTGTATAACTGTTTTAATTTACCAATAAACCCTGTTTGCCCTGACAAACATTCATACACACCGAATGATGGAAGAAGCGCCCAGTGGTAGCATTGTTGTAAAGAATGAAATGGAGGAAATTCAACACTATCGCAACACTATATATCAGGGGTCTTCAAACCATGGGTCGCGACCCAAAATTGGGTCGCTAGCACACCCTCGAAGGTCGCAAGGCTTGTCTTGGGTCGCAATGCTTGTCTAGGGTCGCGAACTTACACTAGTAAACTTTACAAGACGAGAGATCAAGTGATAAGATGCACATATTTACATATGAATATTTCCTTGTGAAATTTGCGATTATAATGTTTTTTCACGATTATTATGAAGCACTCAAGCGCTAGATTGCTAGAATAATATGGTAAACAGGTAAACTGGTAAAGCTTTAGATATAATACCTTTTACTTCATGTAACTCAAACATTATGGCTTAGCACCACTCGGCGCGCCTTCGGCGCACGTCGTCTTCCGAAGTAGAGTCGTCGTCATACACTCGGAAGCTTTCAGTGAAAAGCCATAATGTTTTTAATTATCGAAAGTTTTATTGGCAGTGTTCAGGGTCGCGGGACACCTATGAAGCTTGGGTTTGGGTCGCCGAAAAAAAAGGCTGAAGACCCCTGCTATATATAAATGTATTGACTACTGTGTGATGCATTGCAAGGATTTATACTAATCAACCAGTTATCTATGCTCAAATGATCAACCAGTTGTCTATTATTTTACTCTGCCTAACGCCAGATTATTTTACTGTCTAATACTAGACTATTTACTCATCAGGGGGAGAGTGCTGACACTCAATGGGTTAAAAAACATTGAAAGAAAATGTTTAGCAGAAGCTGAAAAATTGTTTATTGGTGTCTGGTGTAATACTGATATTTCTTTTATTTGTAAGGATAGAGCTGGGGAGCTAATCACTTCCCTGATTCTGCCATAAGTATTGTATCCCATGGACACCATCTTATCAGTTCTGCAGTTTTTTGACAATCTACCGTAAACCTCCACCTAAAAGCACTGGGCTTATATTCTTTCGTAAGCAATTTTTGATGGGCTTACACAAGGGGGGGGGGCTTATACATGGGGAGGGGGGCTTATATTCAGAGGTTTATGGTATGTATGGTTTTCATGATTTTCAGTGTATAGTCTTCCCTTGCTCATCACAAATTAATAAAAAGATCACACACTACATAATTGATGTTGATAAAATTTATTTATTTTAAAATCAAAAAAATATTAACATAATATTGCTGTACTTAAAGATAATTAAAATGTTTTTAAAAATAAAATTTTATGCACACAATTTTAAAATATTGCACACATTCATTTCACCAGTACACATGGATGCTATATGATAGAGTATATGAAAGGTGATGCTTTTGCTCTAGCTTAATGATGCGGTATTAAAACAATCTAGAGGTATTACATAATTGGTAAACCTCTTCAATCGTAATGATTTGCATGATTTTCTGCAACAGATATGAATTCAATGAATGCTTTATCTTCCTCAAATGTCCATTTATGAAGTTTAACTGGGAATTTCTTTGGAGGAGTCGTTTAATCTTTCTGATAAGAAACTACAAAACAAACAGCAAAAGTGAGAGGGGCAATGTTAGTGCCAGCACAATTAGACAACAACAAAGAAACTCATGGATTTTTACCAGGATTGTGTGCATGCTTCTCCAGGAAATTTGTGTACTATAGGTTTTCTGGAATGCTCAGCATTGAAAAATAATGTTGGTGTACGGGTGGATAGAAATTGCCCAACATTGTCATGAGTTTGTGAACAAGAGGTATAAAATAGAAGGAATACATCTCCTATACAGACTAGCAGAAATACTGTTTAAAGTCAATCTTAAAACAATTGCCCAATTTTTAAAGCAGAATTCTGCCCAACTAAACACTGACTGGAGGGATTGCACCGCCCCCCCCCCCCAGCCTCGTATGCCTATGGACAGAAATTCTCCCAGGCAAAAAAGCATTAAAATACAATGTTACTATCACTATGATAATGACTCAAGCACCCATTATTAACATATTGTTTCATTAAAAATATACAATGTTTTTGTGTAATCATACTGTATTTTTAATATGTTTGTAAAAACATTTGTACTTTTAAATACACCTTGGCTTTGGACTCTGAAACAAAATTCGGCTTGATGTTGAATTTTTCAAACGAGAAATTCTGTGTCTTTTACTATTAGGTTTCCCTCGGGGAAATATGTACGAACATATATGCGTATGTTTCAAAATTATCATGGAAAATAGTGGTTATAGTACAATAATTTCCTTCGCGCCATGATGATTATCAGGCGGTCTATTCCCGCCATCGGCGATAGAATATAGCAAAAGTACCCCATTTTCAAACCGCGATTACTCGTCGGTTTAGTGGAGCAAATTCATGTTTTAAAGTAACAGTAGAAAGAATAAATCTTCCCGAATTCGATGACGTGTTTTGTTTCTATTTTCCTAAAAAAACCGTGAATTTGCTTCTGCATTATATCAAGGTCATTTTATTGGCGTGTCCACTGACCCGGAACAAGCATAATTACAATACGTAATTAACACAACTAAAAAGCAATTCCTGTACCAAACAAGTCAAAAATAGTTTAATTAGGTTCTTAAATAATACAAATATAAAAACATACCTTCGAAAAAACGAGATATACGAAGCCCAAATCGCAATGTATTTCAACAACTTTTCGCCAAACGTTTGTTGAAAATCGTAATTGTGAATAATAATCAGACGCAATGCATTGTGGGAAGACCCTCATTCCTCCTCTGGCTCAAGCACATACAGAGACATTCCCAGCGGCAGCAGAATCGGTCGATAACTCGATGTATGTTGACGATGTCTTAGATTCAAGCGAGACTATAGAGAGTGCCCAGAATCTGCGACGTCAGTTATCTGACCTGTTGGGTCTGGCAGGTTTTCGGCTGCGGAAATGGTCGTCGAACGAGCCATCAGTTGTCGCAAGCATCCCCGAGAGTGACCGGTTATCTGCTGTTGAAATTAACAAAGAAGAGCCGTCTAAAACCAAGACTCTGGGAGTCTTGTGGGATCCTGAAAGAGATGTATTTACCTTCAGAGTGGAACCTCCTGATGCGAAAATTATTTTCTTGTCAGTTCTAGACAAGCATGCACCAATAAGAGAAAAGAGAGTAAAAAATATACCAAATATTCCTTGGCTGACTAATGCAATTAAAAAACAAATACGTGAACGGGATCGTCTCAAATTCCTTGCCGTTAAATATAATTCAGAAAATTACTGGACTGCATATAAAACCTCTAGAAACCATATAACTAGTACACTGCGAGAAGCAAAAACAGCATATTATAAAGCACAATTTGAAAGTGTCAAACATGACCCAAAGAAAGCTTGGAAAACCGTTAATAAAATCCTTAACCGGAAACAAGAATGTCGCGAAATATATTGTATCCATACTCAGAATGGTTAAATTTCTTGTCCAAATGAATTAGCGGAGCGCTTTAATAATTACTTTACTGCCATTGATCCAAAAATTGCCACAACCATTGGTAACACTGACAGAAATTTCACGGATTACATAACAAAAACAACAAGTAGTTTCAAGTTTCAAACAGTGTCTGAAACCAAAGTATACAAACTTCTCTCCTCTTTAAATCCTTGTAAATCTACTGGAATTGATAAAATTCCCGCTAAAATTATTTGTATTGCTGCGCCAATAATTGCAAATTCACTGACAAGAATTTTTAATACGGCAATCTATAGTGAAACTGTTCCTTCAGAGTGGAAACTAGCGAGAGTTATCCCTTTACACAAAAATGACCCTCGAAACATGCTGAATAACTATCGCCCAATTTCCATTCTGCCTATAGTAAGTAAAGTTTTTGAAAAAGTTCTATATGGTCAACTATATGATTATTTTGTTGTTAATTCCTTGTTCGGGCTAAAATTCTCATGCAGGAGATTTGGAGAGCAGGGTTGGATTGGGATGACAACCTTCCAAGTGATCTAGCAACTAAGTGGAAGAACTGGGCTACAGAACTTTCGCAGTTATCGCATGTCGCCATACCACGCTGCTTACGCCTCGCAAACTCGAATAAAATGGAACTACACCTGTTCTCGGATGCCTCTAAAGACGCCTGCGCATCAGTCGCTTATTTGGTGTGCCAATATGAAGACGATAGCCCTACATCACGCCTTGTCGCATCAAAGTGCCGTGTAGCCCCCACCAAAGCGATGACGATTCCCAGACTGGAGCTTATGGGTGCCATTCTCTCAATCCATTTAGCTCAAAGTCTTCTGAAAGTCCTGACTGTCGATCGAGTGATCTTTTGGACTGACTCCGAGAATGTGTGGTATTGGGTACGAACCACAGCCGGCAGTTTAAACCCTTCGTAGCCAACCGTATCGCAGAAATTCAACGGACGACGAGTCCCGAGCAATGGAGGCATGTACCTGGGAAACAGAATCCAGCAGATCTAGCGACCCGAGGTCAATCTGCTATGGAACTAGCCAAAAGCACATTTTGGTTGGAAGGACCATCGTTCTCGAAAGATGTCGAGATCTCGGGGCCATCAGCGCCTTCCGTTAGAGAGGAGACGAATGTTGAAGATATTGAAAAGACAGCGGCACAGACGTGCATGGTCCAGGCGCGCGTTAACCTGGGCGTTGATCCAAACCATTTTTCTACCTTCCGTCGCCTTTGTCGTGTGACTGGATGGGTTCAACGATTCGTTACAAACTGCAGACTTCCAAGGGAATTACGAAAACGAGACAGAACGCTTTGTTCAACTGAAATACTTAATGTGGAAAAGTGGTGGATCAAACAAGCGCAAGGAGAAGCTTTCCCGAAAGGAGAGCGAGAAGGATGTTTACTGCGACTTAGTCCAAAGAACGGTGACGATGGTCTTCTGAGGATGGACGGACGTTTAAGACTTGCGGATGAACTATCCTACAACACAAAACACCCCATTTTATTGCCAAAAGAGCACGTGGTGACCCGACTCATCATCAAGGATGCACATGAAGAACTCGGACATGGTTCCGGAGTTGAGCAGGTTCTAACACTGCTACGCAGTCGTTTCTGGATCGTAAAAGGAAGACGCGCGGTAAGGAATATCGTTGAGTCATGCGCGCAATGTCGACGACGTTTTTCTGTAAAAACAGCCGAGCAGAAGATGGCACCGCTGCCCAGACCGCGACTTCAATCGTTACGAGCTTTCGAAAGAGTCGGAGTGGATTATGGAGGCCCATTTCTAACGAAGCAAGGACGAGGCAAAGCCAAAGCAAAGAGATACCTATGCCTATTTACTTGTCTAGCGACAAGGGCTGTTCACCTTGAGATGTCATACTCATTAGACACGGCTTCCTTCATCAATGCCTTTACGCGAATGGTATCGAGGAGGGGGACGCCCGTATATGTTATATCGGACAATGGGACCAATTTCGTGGGCGCAGAGCGGGAGATGAGAGAATTAGTTCAAGCTTTTAACCAGGACAAAATTGCCCAAGAAACCACCAAGTATCAACCTATTGAATGGAAATTCAATCCTCCATCGGCCCCTCATTTTGGAGGGATTTTCGAGGCTATGATAAAGAGCGCCAAGAAGGCAATAAAAATTGTCCTAGGAGATGCAGATGTGACGGATGAAGAACTTCAGACCGCAATGTGTGGAGCTGAAAGACTGGTAAACTCACGGCCCATCACTTATGTGAGTTCAGATCCAAACGACCCGTCCCCACTTACTCCAAATCATTTTATAGTCGGACAGATCGGTGGGGTATTTGCTCCTGAAGCTCTTGATCAAGTTGAAGCGAACAACCCTAGGAATCGCTGGCATCGAGTACAACAATTGTTACAGCTGTTCTGGAAGCGCTGGAGAAAGGAGTTCCTTCCACGTCTTAATGTAAGCAAGAAATGGTTTCATCCCAAACATAACCTGAAACAAGGCGATGGGGTATTGATTGCTGAACCCAAAGCAAGTAGGGGAGAATGGCCTCTTGCCCGTGTGATCGAAGCGTATCAAGGAAGTGACGGCCTAGTCCGAGTTGTAAAGGTGAAATCCAGGAACAAAGAATATTTCCGTCCTATACATCGATTGTGTCCTCTCGAGTATGTTGACGAACATTCGGACAATGAAGATAGATAACTGAAACGTTATATAGAAGTGAACATAAAGGACGTTAATTAAGTCGTATTTGTTAGTATTCATTGACATTGCTAATCCCTCTATTTATTGTCTTTAAGTGGAATCGAATGCGTTGCATTCGGGAGGGGGATGTTAACGAACGATATTATTATATGAAGTACTTGTTATCATGACCGCTGAAATAGTCGCGCGGGCGACAAAACGTTGTTTGAACGTTCTAGTTTATATTTTTCGACTACAAAAAGTGTGACAATATTTAGGCTATTTTTGTGTTTAAAGACTTGGAATAAAGTGGCGAATTATCTCGTTTAGATATTTTATAGACAGTTCAATTAATCGGGAACAATTATTATTATTATTATTATTATTATTATTATTATTATTATTATTATTATTATTATTATTATGTTGTGGCAAGATATGCAAAGGGGCGCGCGGCCTTAAAATGCATCAGCGCAGTTGTCAAGTGATACATGGCCTTAACGACGAGCTTTGTGCAGATCTTGAGGAGCAAATAACTACGGATAACAGCGAAAATATTTCAGAAAATGAACACAACGGCAATGATATTAATACAGTTAATTACGATAGTTTTCCTGAACTGAAGAAAGGCATAAATCTCCCGAAAAATGATTCTGAATGGTCAACGGCTAATGATTATTTTAAATGTGCACTCCAGCCAAGTGATCCAATCACATTGCAAGATCTAAATTCAAAAATCAAGCTTTTAAATGACGCGATATACAGCTACTTTGCAAATAATTATGGACATACTGAAACTGTACCCGACAAAAATATGGTAGCTAAATATAAAGAGTATACGGTTAAAGAGTTAAAGAAAGCTTTACAAAATTTAAAATCCAAAAAGGGCGAACTCAGTGAAATTAAATACGTATCGCGTACATTGCGTGACAGGCTCCGTAACAATGGCAACGACGCCGATGACTTAAATGACAGTGAGTCGTTTAATCACAACAAATATCTGGAACGAAGCTTTTGGGGCTATGTTAAAAATATAATCAATAGAAAAGACGCAGTATTACCATCATTTAACATGACTGATTGCCTTTCTTATTTCTCTAAATCTCTGGCTAAAATTAATCCTAACAAGCTATTTGTAATTCCCAGCTGGATCCCAAAGTTATCTGATCCTGCAGTTCAATTTAACCTTGACTCCCCGACCTATCAACAAATTACGAATGTTATACGCAAAATGAAATCGTCTGGTTCTCCTTGCCCTCTTGATCAACTTTCTATAATAAGTTTCAAGCATTGTCCTTATCTGAGAACTTACCTTACTGAGCTAATTCACGGTGTTTGGCTATCTGGAACTGTCCCAACTGAGTGGAAAAGAGCATGTACCATACTAATCCACAAGAAAGGCAACAATAATGACCCTTCAAATTTCCGCCCCATAACACTCGAATCCATACCTTTAAAAGTATTTACATCTTGTCTCCGAAACGCAGTATACTCCTTCCTCGCATCTAATAACTTCGTCGAACACAACATACAAAAAGGCTTCACCCCCAACCTATCTGGCACTCTACTCTAGAACATACTGCACAAATGGCTGACATTATTAATAAAGCTCGGATCAGACAACGCTCTGTTGTCATCACCCTACTTGATCTTAAGAATGCCTTCGGCGAAATCCATCACAACCTCATTCAATCCGTACTTGACTACCACCATATCCCTGATCATATAAAATTTGTTATAAAAAGTTTATATACTGATTTCCAAACCTCGATAATTACCTCTAAATTCCGCACTCCTTTTATGACAGTTGGCCGTGGCGTATTGCAAGGAGATTGCCTCAGTCCTCTTCTTTTTAACATGTGCTTCAATACATTCATTCAGCATATCAAGGCTGAAAAGTACCGTCAATTTGGGTTTTTCTTCAAATTACTAAATCCCATCCATTGGTTCCAGTTTGCTGATGACGCGGCTGTAATTACTGGCCAAGAATCCGAAAACCAACATCTATTAAATCGATTTTCTTTCTGGTGCCAATGGTCCGATATGATTATCCGAGTTGACAAATGCAGTACCTTTGGCATTAAAAAAGCGATCACAAAATCAGTTCAGTACTTGCCAAAACTCCTCATCAGCAATCAACTAATACCAAAAATCACCATTGGAGAATCATTTCAATATTTAGGACGTTACTTTGATTTCCACATGTCGAATGATAATCACAAAACTGAACTAACCACCCTACTTAACGAACTAATGTCTGATATTGACTCAAAGCCACTACACCCCAAAACTAAACTGCTCCTCTACAGTCGCTACGTCTTGTCCAAGTTAGCCTGGCACTTCACCGTCGCAACACTCTCTAAAACATGGGTTACTGAAAATATCGACTCTATTGCCAACAAATATATCCGCAGATGGCTTGAAGTACCAATATCAGGAACACT